GTAGTGAGGTTGGCCCAGGATCGGACATTGTTTCGTTCTGCTGTGCATGGGGTCGCTATGAGTCGGTTCCGACTCGATGGCACCTGACAACAACAACAGAAGACATTAAAAATTAAAAATTTGACTTACTAGAAGACAGTAGTATTCATATGTTTCTGCTTCTACATTCAGTCTGTTGTCTTATATTATTTTGGCTGAAGTATAGAAAGAAAATCTGGCCTCCTTAATAGTTGAAAAGCCTTTTCAGATAATTGTGGGTGTTGTTTGATACTACACTAAAACTTGATCAGTGGCAGTTTTTTTTTGTCTTTTAAGCATCTTTATTGATGCTATTGTGTATCGATGAGTCAGTTCCAACTAAGCACCTTGTATGGGATTTTCGAGAATGATGGTGAGTTTGAACTGCCAACTTTGCAAGTAAACTTCAGTGCTTCTCCTACAGTGCCACACCAGGGCTCGGGATAGAACTACATACCATAAAAATCTTCCATTGTAATTGTACAATTTAATGGGTTTTAGTATATTTGCAGTTGAACGGCCATCATTCCAGAAAGATCCTTTGTCCACATTTGCTGTCAGTGTCCCCTTCATAGCCAGTATCAGGCAACCACCAACCTATACTCTGTAGATTTGCCTATTGTGGACATTTCACATAATATGTGGTCTGTTGTGTCTTTTGAATTTTGTGTTGAAAGATTGAATTTTATTATTGGCAAGAATTTCTGTCATTTGTTTTCCTTTAATTGAAGAGTGCTCACGTTTAGAAAATTCTGTTGACTACTCAAATATAAATAAGCATAGTTTGTCTGTCAATCATTCTTTAAACAAAACTGATGTCCATTGAAAAGAGTAGCTGCTTTAGCTTGCAACTCAAAACAAGTGCACAACTTCTTTACCTTGAGATATTTAAAACAGAATTTTATTTTTGAAAACAGTAAATGTGTGACTCTAAAGTATATATTTTCTACTATGTTGTCATTGCCTGAACTCACTGCTAAGAATTACCTGTGTAATTTTTAATTCTTTTAAAAGAAAAATGATGTCTCATACATATATACATGAAGGAGCTTCAAAAAAAAAAAAAATGGAATTAAAAGATAATGGAGCCAAAGAGAGGTGACCCAGCAGAATGTGGAACTAATTGGACAAAATCATTCATTTCAAGTTCAAATAAAAGTTTGCGGAATATAATTTTTAAAAGGCTGCAAACAGTGCACCAAAAGAAAACTGCCAGAAAATCAAGCTGAATTCAGATGAGGATGAGAAAGGGAGAATATCACTGCTGACGTCTGATGGATCTTAAATGAAAGCAGAGACTTAGGAAAGTAGAGACTACCCGAAAGATATTTACTTGTGTTAACTTGCAATAAATGCTATTGATTGTGTGGATCATGATATGCTATAGACAATATGTGACAAATGGGTATTCCAGAACACTTAATTGTGTTCATGAGGAATCTGTACATAGACCAAGAGAGTCATTTGAACAGAACAAGGAGATAATGAATGGTTTAAAATCAGGAAACGTGGGTACCAGCGTTGTATTCTTCCACCATACTTATTCAGTCTGTAAACTGAGGAAATAATCCAAAAAGCTGAATGATATTTGAAAAAGAATGTGGTATCAGGATTGTAGGAAGACTAACAACCTTCGGTATGCAGATGATACAACTTTGCTTGCTGAAAACGAAGAGGAATTAAAATACTTACTGATGAAAATCAAAGAGCACAGGCTTCAGTAAAGGTTTCATCTCAATGTAAAGAAAATGAAAATCCTCACAATTGGACCAATAGATTATATTATGATAAAGTGAAAAAAATTAAAGTTGTCAAAGATTTCATCTTACTGGAATTTACAAACAACATTCATGGAAGCAACAACCAAGAAATCCAGTGATGTATTGCATTAGGCAAGTCTCCTGCTAAGACCTCCTTAAAGTGTTCAAGGAGTAAGTTAACAGTTTGAGAAGTAAGATGAACCTGAACCAAGCCATGATATTTTCAGTATCTCCATATGCATGTGGAAGTTAAACAATGTAATAAGGAAGACTATTGAATTGATGAATTTGATTTATGGTGTTGGAGAAGAATATTAAAATTACAGTGGACTGCCAGAATAATAAACAAATCTGTATTGGAAGTAGTACAGCCAGAATGCTCTTTAGAAGCAGAGGAGAGATTTTGTCTCTCATATATCTGATATGGTATCAGGAAGGACCAGTCTGTGGAGAAGGACATCATGCTTGGTAAAGTGGAGGGTCAGTGAAAAGAGGAAGACCCCTAAGGAGATAGATTGACATAGTGGCAACAGCACTGGACTCAAGTGTAATAATTTTGAGGATGGTGCCAAGGCAGTGTTTTATTCTGTTGTGCATAGAGGGGCTGTGGGTAAGAACTGACTAGATGGCACCTAACAACAATAACAATTTGACCTAATAAACAGGAATAGGTAAGACCCTAGCTCATGATTGTAACTTAATAATTTTGTCAAAAGATAAATGACTATATATGTTAAAATAAAAAAAAAGATGATGGACATTTTCCACTAACTTCAGCCCCCTCGTGCGTGTGTTTGTGTGTATGCTTTTTGAATTAACAAACATAAGGGTAAGTCAAAAAGTGTTGCTATAAAGAAAATTTTATTACACAAAAATCAAAATGTGAAGCTATTGTTTCTCAACATATTATCCATCTAGGTCTATATACTTAATACACGTCTGTTTCTCTAACCCTTCCCCAAATGAAGAATTCTGTACTTTTCTATTTACACCACATCAAAACAATACTTTAGGCATCCCTGAGAGACTCAAATTGTGCTTTGGGCTGTAGGGTGAACAGAGTAAAGTTTTCCAAGAAATTCTCATGGGATAGCCTTGCTACTGTCTTAAGAGTGGGTGCATTATCATGATGGAAAAAAATTCCATGGTGAAACTTTACTGAATTTTTTCTCACCAATATGGTTTTCTAAAACTTCTTCCTAATAAGCCCACGTGATTTTCCTGTGTCCTTTGAGGAACTCTTATCTAGATGGCTTCTTTGGAATTACAAAAAAATTGTCTTCGTAACCTGGGCTAGGGTCTCTTCCTTGAATTTAACTGGCCCAGTAGATCCCTTCAGAAACCACTTTTTTGATTGGATCTGTTTTTTGAAGGCACTCTTCACAAGGCTAAGACAAGTGCATTACTGAGAGAACTTGTCTGTAGCCACCACTAATCAGAGACATGTTTAAAACAGGTTTTGTTTGGACTAGAGCTGTGCATGTATGAACTGGACCCTGGTAGCAATATCTTTTGGCTATCCTTGTATGTATTTGTGTGTATGCATATACACACACAATTTTAAAAAAATATATATATATATACCCTGACTTTTTCTTATCTTTCATATCCTTAGCATTAAAGAATTTGGAAGTTAATAGGGCATTTGAATTCACTGGGCCTTGTTGCATAATGAAAAATGGACCCTTTGTCTTTTTCAGGATGTAGAGTTACTGATGAAATTTTGCACTTAGTGCCAAATAAAGAAACTTTCAGAATCACACTGAGAGCAGTCAAATTGTGGGCCAAACGTAAGTATTCTGTGTCTCATACTGTTCCACAGTCTCATACTGAAACCCTCAATGGTCTTTAACTGTAGAGAGCCCATAGTGGTAGTCTTCAGCTAGTTTTTATTTTGACTTTTTAGCACACCTCTAATAAAGCCTGAAACTATTAGTTCATCTCTATAGGATGTGGTTCCTAAAGTCCCATAACCTAGTTCTGAGCTGGCAGAGCACATTTTGTGTTACTTATAACTGCATATAAGTACTGCCACCCTCTGGGGCCGGGCTGTACAGTCTAAAACTGCAGTGTCCGATAAAACTTAACTGAGTGAACGGCACAGTCCAGTGTAGTAACCACAAGCCACATAGGGCTACTGTACCCTTGAAATGTTCAACTGAGGAGCCGAATTTTTAATTTTTACTCAATTTAATTAAAAATAAAACTACCCAAAAAAATGAAATCATGTCCACATAAAACTTGTACATATTTTCATAGCAGCATTATTCATGATGTTGTTGTTAAGTGCCGTCGAGTCGGTTCCGACCCATAGCGACCCTGTACAGGGTTTCCGAGGGTGTAAATCCTTACGGGAGTAGAAAGCCTCATCTTTCTCCCGCGGAGCAGCTGGTAGTTTCGAACCGCTGACCTTAAGGTTCGCAGCCCGATTCGTAACCACTACGCTACCAGAGCTCCTTATTATTCATGATAGTCATAAATAAAGTAAAAACAACTCAAAGTAAATGCTAACTGGTGAATGTAGTATTATTTGGGATTTAGTCAGAATATTTGGTTATAAAAGGGCATTAAATGCTGATACATGCTACACAGATGAACCTTGAAAACTTTGTGAGTGAAAGAAGCCAGTCATAGAACACCACGTAGATTGATTATATGAAATATGCAGGTTGGGTAAATCCAGAGGCAGAAACTAGATTAGTGATTGCTAGGGACTGTGGAGAGGAGAGGAAATTAGGATGAAAGGTATAGGCTTTCCTTTTGAGGTAATGAAAAGAAAACTACATGTGGTTTGTGGTTACTACAATGTAGGTCTAAAAGGTCCTTGTTGTTAAGTACCATCATTCAGTTCCGACCCATAGCGACTATATAGGGTTTCCAAGGAACAGCTGGTGAACTTGAACCACCGACCTTGCAGTTGTAGAATTTGTCCTTGGACTCAAGTATGTTAGATAGTCAAGATTTGCAGTAAAGGGATAACACCAACAATTTGTTTTTTCTTAACATATCAAACTAAATACCTTGATTTTGTAATTCTTAGATGTTTTTCATGCTAAGTGAAAAGTGGTTTTTGTGGGCTTTTTCCTGTTTCTTGCCTAGTGGGACATTAAATAATCCTATATTACATAATTGAGTAAATCTTGTTGTTGTTAAGTGCCATCAAGTCGGTTCTGACCCATAGCGACCCTGCATAGGGTTTCCAAGGAGCGACTAGTGACCTTGAACCACCAAACTTGTAGTTCAAACGGCTTTTCAGTCTGGCGCATTAACTCACAGCGCCACATCTTAGGTTTAATAAAATATGGTAAATTTTTCATAGATTGCTAGAGAAACAATTCTGTGATAAATGAATAATATCAGTATATTTTATGCTTATGGAAAGGTATCCAAATTGTGCAAAATACTGAAGTTCGTCCCCAACACTTTTAAAAATACCTGTTAATTTGATTGCTAGGTAAAGTTTATCCTTCCTTCCTTTTAGACTCTCCAAAATGTCTTGTCCTCCTTCCTTTCATTTTCCTCTCAATTCTAGATTTTGAAAGGTAAGAAATTGCAGTGTAACATTGGTTGAGCCCAGTTGGGCAGTTAGAGGGAGGCAGGGAACTGAGTTGCTTGGATTGGAGGGCAAGGTAGGAGGGGATCGATCATCTTGTAGATGATTCTACTTGACACCCTCCTGAGACTCACTTTCTGTAAGAATCACCTGGGGAACTTGTTAAAATGTAGATTTTAACAGTTTCAGTAAATCTGGGGTAAAAATTGTAATTCTTAGCAGGGAGTTGAAAGAATGATCCAGTTCATGGACTCATGAAGGTATGCCTATCAATTTTATAATTGTTTCTTAGGGGAAAAGAGTTCTAAGCAACAGGCTCCAAGAATGAAGTTATCTTGTTCCTTAGGGTTGAGTGTTAATGAGTCATAGGTCTTCACAGTAATTGAATACATTAATTTTTCTAGGACGTGGTATTTATTCCAACATGCTGGGGTTCCTTGGAGGTGTCTCCTGGGCAATGCTTGTTGCAAGAACTTGCCAATTATATCCAAATGCAGCTGCTTCTACTTTAGTTCATAAGTTCTTTTTAGTGTTTTCCAAGTGGTAAGTATTTATTTGCATGTTTTTATAATTTACTAATTTCTGTCTATGAGTAAATTGGAGCATTGCATAGACTCTTTTTGTTGTCTTACATACTTATTTTAAGTTAAAAATTTTAAGCCATATCTGATAATGAGGCAATTGTATGACATCCAGATGGAACTTTCTTATCAGGGCTCTGTAAATGTGGACTCTGGTGTGGGGCTATAGTATCAGCACTGGACTTCGAAACACAAGGTCGGCAGTTCAAACCCACCAGCTGCTCCTGGGAGACTCAACAGGGTGGCTATGAGTCAGAACTGACTCAATGGCACTTAATAACAACAACAATTATCTTGGGGGTATGCTCACAACAGGCCTGGCTCTGCCAGTGACTAGCGATTTGTGGGTGAATAAGTTGTTTACGCTGTCCTCACCTGTCAGGTGAAGATGATAAACAATCATAGTCATCACGAGGGTTTGTTATTAGTGGTTTCATTAAATGTTACCTGTTGTATTTGTTATGAAATTATAAGAGTAAGCCGCAAAAGCAACTGAGAAGGGAACAATTCAGGTGTAAATTAGGAACAAATAGAACTCCTGACAGGACAGACGCTGTGGCTCAGCACTGGACTAAACTGCTAGATCTATAGCTCCTCGGAAACCTATACAGGGTCGTTATGAGGCAAAACTGACTCGAGGGCACAATTTTCAACAAAGAGTGAACCCTGGTAGTTCAGTGAGTTAAGCTTGCCCTACTCACCAAAAAGTTCACATTCTAAACCCAGAGGGAGCTCTGTGGGAGAGAGGTGTGTTATTCTGCTTCAATAAAGATTATTAGCCTCAAAAACCCCATGGGACCATTCTACTGTGTTCTATAAAGTCCTAGGAGTTGGAATCGGCCCATGGGCTTTGTGTTCTTTGCCATTTCAAAGAACCCTGCTTTTAAGATAGGTGGTCTTGTCTGTTTTTTAAAGATAGGTGAACTTGTCTTTTATATACTTTTTCTTCCTTCCTCGTTTAATTTTTTTTTTTAATACCAAACAGCGAAAACATTTGCTATATGAAGGTCGGAATAGAGTCTAATGATTTAACATTTCATGTAGTGCCAGAAGTGAGGTCCTATGTGAGTTAATTTGCTTTATTCATGGTAGGGAATGGCCAAATCCCGTGTTGCTGAAGCAACCAGAAGAAAGCAACTTGAATTTGCCAGTGTGGGACCCTCGGGTATGTGACTTTCTGTGTAATTTCATTAAGTCTTTCAGGAAAAGAACATTTCTCTAAATTATAGTGTAGAGAATTCGTACAGTCCGTGCTTCTCTTCCTTCTCTATCCATCTCTGGGGTCCTAGTCTTTTTCCTCCCTCTGTAGTTTCTTTTGGTTCAGATTTTGTCTCCAATCAGACCCAAATGTTATGTCATTAAAAATTGCACAAATGAAACTACATGAGGTAGTATATCAATCAGTAGTATATCATAATGCTTTATGATGAAAAAACAGTCATGCAAGTATTTATTAATAATAGTTTAGTGATTTATCGTAGTTAATAGAAGATTTACTTTGAAATGCAACTTAAGGCTTCCAGGTTAGAATTAGCTCTTCTCACCTTGCACTTTATGTGGCTTTTAAGAGTGAGTGTTCATTTCTCTTAGTGACCAAGGGGCTGAGAAGTTACCTACTGAGTGGGTGCAGAAAAAGGATTGAGATCCTTTGGAGCAGATAATGCTTTTTGTAGCTAGGGTAGTATAATTCCTTGATTCCAAAAGACCATCATTATGAGATAGATAGATCATCAATATAATAGCTCTTCAGGAGAAACATTAACTTCTGTAGAAATTTCTTTTACTATGTCGGATACCTCTGACTTCAAATATGTATTTAGGGAAATGTGCATGCTAAAATTGAGGGAATGTAGTATTAAATTTATATTTCATATTCTTCAGACTTTTGGGGAAATGAAGTGAGGACAACTGAAATAGGAGAATAGATGAGTTATTCTGCTTCTAATTTCACAGGTAAATCCATCAGATAGGTATCATCTCATGCCCATAATCACCCCTGCCTATCCACAACAGAATTCTACGTATAATGTGTCCACATCAACTCGAACAGTAATGGTAGAAGAATTTAAACAAGGTAAACATGTTGGTCCTGTTTCCCTTTACATACCTCCCACAAGTGTATATTTGACAACAATTTTGTTAACATATATGGCTTGGCAGTAAGAGTGTATATAACAGCCTGTTGTTTTTAAAAAATATTTCAGATGTGTGTGTGTGTATTTTCAGTAATTATTTTCCAAAGTATATGACTAAAAATAGAGCCAGCCAGTATGCTTAAAATTAACTTTTGTGTTCAAAGTTAACAACATGTAAGTTTTTGTTAGAGTTTGTTGGGATTAGAGGTTTTAGGTGTTAAAAAAGCTGGTCCATTTCAAGAACTTTTTTTTTTTTTTTTTAACTTTTACTTTAGGTCTTGCAGTCACAGATGAAATTCTCCAAGGGAAATCAGATTGGTCCAAACTACTTGAGCCACCGAATTTTTTTCAAAAGTATAGGTATTGGAAATTTTGCAGTTTATATGTGCATGTGTTTTAAGACAAATAATGTAAAGATTATAAAATTGATAAATGACAAATAATACTTGTCACTTGTATTTCTTAAGTAGAGAATAGAAATCTCAAGTGATAGACTTTTCTGTATTCTAATAAGTATCTGATCCAGTGTTAATGGTTTTTTATTAAGTTTATTTATAAGTCTAGGAACTAGAATTAATTTTATGAAAATCATAACCTGACTTGATTTTTCATAAACTGTGTATGTTCTTTTGCTCATTGGAAGGTGGAGAGGGAGAAAGTAATGATGGAAAAGCAGAGAATCTAACAGTGTTTCTCTCTTTTTTTTTTCTGATTATTGCTGGAAATTCTTGATAGACATTATATAGTCTTAACTGCCAGTGCGTCAACAGAAGAAAACCATCTAGAATGGTAAGATTGATCTTTCCAGAGCTCTCCCTCCTGTGTGGTGATAATGGCTTCTTTATATGCAGTTTTGCCGTGAAAAGGAGCTCTGGAGGGACTGTGGTTAAAACACTCAACTGCTAACCAAGTGGTTGGGGACTAGAAGCTATCAGCCACTCCATGGGGGGAGAGTGTGGTAGTCAGCGTCTGTAAAAATTACAACCTTGGAAGCACAGTGAATCACTGAGTCAAAATTGACTTGAGGGCAGCTGATGTGGGGTTTTTGTTTTGTTTTGCCATTTATAAAATATTCTCTCACTTGATTTTCCTGAATTGCTAGGTTATGTTGGTGACTGTCATACATTACTATGGTACCATTGTTTTAAGAAATGCCACCAAAGTAATGTTTTCGAATCAGGAAAAGCACCTGTGGCATTTCTCTCTGACTGCATTTTCTACCCTTGCTATCATGTTTTCCTTTCACTACTTTCATCAAATATTTGGAGAGAGCAAAAAAATACCATTTTCATTTAGGGGATAGTTACATGAAAAGTTTCAGAAACAGGTCAAGGAGCGGTGTATTCTTTCTAGTGCATTCACTTCTGCCTGCATTGTACAGGTGTGCAGTGCATGGCATCTGTTCCAGCATCTATAGCCATGGTGCAGGGAGGGACTTGCTATGGTGCAGTTAGGACCGAGCAGCAAGTTTACAGGGCTGGGGTCTGCTTCTCTGTTGCTCAACCACAGCCCCTAGACTGCGTCTGCTCTGCCCCTGACCTGAGGAGGACATGCTGAGTTGCAGCTGCTCTGTTCCATCCACTGGGACTGACTTGGCTTCTAGGGGCTCTTCAGAGAGTCAGAGGTAGTCACTTGTAGGTGTAGGTATGCAAGTTTTTGCTTCAAGGGATTAAAACGTGTTGAAAATTAAACCCAAACCCCAAAACTCTGTCTGTCATTGAGTCATTTCCAACTCTATAGAGATCCTGTGAAAGGTTTCCAAGACTAAAGAAGCAGGCAATGTCATCTTTCTCCTGAGGAGCTGTTGGTGTGTCTGAACCACTAACCTTGTGGTTAGTAGCCCAGCTAACCCTCAGAGCCACCAGGGTTTCTATGATTGTTTAAATAAAAGGACCCTGGAAAGAACCTTTCCACTGAATTATTTCATCTGTCATCCAGATTAGAGGTCAAGTTTTATTTGGCACATGGAGATGCTCATCCGTGTATATATTTTCTATGGTGGCTTTTGTGCTACATGGCAGAGTTGAATAGGTGTAGCAGACATAATGTGTCCCACAAGGCCTAAAATATTTACTATCTGGACCTTGTTATAAAATGTTTGCCATTCCCTCACTTAGATAACTATGTGCTATCATGTTTTCCTTTAATTTTTTTTTTTAATCTGCTGTTAAAGCATGCACACTTAAAACGCATAAGCCTTTCAAATGTTTAAAAAATTATAATAAAATGTTTTTCTTGTTGTTGTTTTTAAGTTGGTTCCAACTCACGGCAACCCTGTATAACGTTTCTGAAAGCGGCTGGTAGGTTTGAAATATCCACCTTGCAGTTACCAGTCCAGTACTTATCCGTACAGTGCCACACAACAGCCCCCTTTTTGTTATAGTTCATTTTCATTCATAAGGTCATCAGTATGATAGCTGACAGCAGTTATACATGGGAGCTTCAAAAATTTGTGGAAAAATTCCATGATCTCATAATCTATTTTTCCATTAACTTTTTGAAGCCCCCTCAAGAGCTCTGGTAGCATAGTAGTTACAAATCAGGCTACTATCTCATGGTCAGCAATTCAAAACTACCAGCTGTTATGCAGAAAAAAGATGAGACTTTCTGCTCCCATAACGATTTACAGCCTCGGAAACCCCGTACAGGGTCACTCTGAGTCGGAACCGACTCCACAGCACATAACAACAACAACATATTAACTAGAGAATATAGTTGCAGAAATATGGTGATTTTTTGTGTTTTAGTAGTATTTGATCCAATTTTAATGAATCTCTTTAAAATGCAAGGTCTAGTGTTAATTTTGTGAAAACGAACCATTATAACTTATTATTTGTTAGCTTTTTCTGCTCATACTATTTAAACATGAACATAGGGGTTAAGCATAACATTTAAAAGAAGAAAAGATTCAGTACTACATTAACCAACAGGTTTTTTCATGCTTATTTTATGGTCTTGGCCAAAGCAAGGTAATTTAGTTTCAGGAATGCATTAAATAAAATAGTTCAGCTTAAAAAAGGAACAGCAGACAGAAGCTCAGTAACTTGTCATTTAACTGAATGGTATTTTAAACAGGGTCCCTAATATGCTAGACATTTTTTTAAATGGTTTATTGTGAATTGAATGAAGGTTTACAGTGCAGATCTGAGAGATTTACAGAGAGATCATCAGTTTTACATTCAGCAAGTCATAAACTTTATTTCAGTGTTTGTAGTTCCCTCGATGGGATGGGTTATCCCACTTCCTCCCTGTAATTATTTCCATTTTACCCTACTTCCAAGCCCTTCTGATCTTTATACTCAGGTAAATGCTGCCCTTTTGATCGTGAATGATTGACCATACCTTACTAGTGTTGTTGTACCCCATGTACCTCTCTACCACTTGACTGAAAATCAGGTCAAAAGGGTGAATTTCATTCCAGACCTGAAGAATCTCCAAGGGCCTGGTCTTTTTTTTGTTGTTGCTGTTGTTTTTAATCATTTTGAGGTTTGTTTCACACTTTCTCCCACTCTTTCCTTTTCAGAACAGTTCATAGTGATAGGCACCATCTAGTTCTTGTTGCAGGGTCATGAAGACTGATACTGATGTTCAAGTTTATTAGTCCTTTGGAGCATTTGGTTCCCAACATCTTCAGTTTTTATAAGATCCCAGTGCTGAACTGGACTTTTGAAATAAACATATAAGCTTTCATATGTTGTGTGGTTTACTTGAATATGGCTTCCAAATCTAATACTGGCTTAAATCTTCTTTCATTCTTAGGGTTGGATTAGTAGAATCTAAAATCCGTGTACTTGTTGGAAACTTAGAACGGAATGAATTTATTACTCTTGCCCATGTCAATCCCCAGTCATTCCCAGGAAATAAGGAACATCATAAAGAGTAAGTTAATTCGTTTACTATTGTATTTTTGAAATAATGCTATTTGGCATATGCATTGTTGGGGAGCAGTTGTGAGATTGACATTTAACAAGCATTGACATCTGGGGGTGATAACATTTTCTGTTTGAGTATGAGTGGCTATTCATTAAAACTTAAATACACACTGTTTGGTAGTCCTCAGACTCCAGCAAAACCTTTATTGTAATATTTGGGACATTTCTAAGTACATATCTAGTAAGTCATTTTCTAAGCCACTGTTTAGAACAAAAGAAGGATATCGTACCAGTGTTCTAGGTATCAGTTATAGGAATTTGGCCAAAGCACTGCAAACTGTATTTATGCTTACATAATGAACAAGTTTTAATTATCAAGTAGCTTTTGTTAAATGGATAACATTAATGGAAATCCTTACATTTTACCTTATAGCAATAATTACGTATCAATGTGGTTCCTCGGAATAATTTTTCGAAGAGTAGAAAATGCAGAAAGTGTAAACATAGACTTGACATATGATATACAGTCATTTACTGATACAGGTAAGACTTTCTTATCATATAGCTCAGTGTCATCTGCCTAGGATCTGGCTGGCTATATTTACTAACTAAAGTTCCACAATTGGTTAAAGGAATGTGATACATCCATATTATATAACCATAGAATACTATGCTGCTGTTAAAAAAGAAATGACATAGTGGAGCCATTTCTAAGACACATTGGGGAAAGACAGATTACAAAGCAGAGCGAATACATTTCCAGAAAGAAAGGAAGGAAGAAAGTAAGTGTTCAGATTATGTCTAGAAGGATGCGAAGCTAAATAAATAAAAACTGGCACAACATTTGCTTCTGGGTCAAGGAACCCCAGGTGCATGCAGTACAGGAAAAAGGACTCCTCACTGGATTCTCTTTGGGGGTTTTGTATCATGTAGAATATATACCTGTATTTAGGAGAAAAAGAAACAAAACAAAAATTCCCTGCGTGCACAGCCAGGATTTGTAATCACAGTCATCAAGACGGCTTGCTGTTTGTTTGTCGTATGAAATAAATCATATTCAGTGCAGGCTTGCTGACTATATTTCTGAATCAGTGAGAAAAGAGTATCTTTCACATCTCTTTGATTACACCCATCTGATATATCTTACTGCGAGAGCTTCAAAAAGTTCATGGGAAAGACTTTGTAGAAACTAGAATTTTCTCTTGGGAATTTTCTAACGCTAGTCATACTATTGAAGCAACTCCACAGTACACAACCACCACCACCAGTTTTATACTATTTGCATTTTTTGTTTCCCTCATCTGAATTTTCTAAAAATTTTCTAACTATATCCCTTGACTTTATCAATTTAAAAACACAGATCCCTGGACCATTTTAAAAATCACTGAATCACAGTCTTAGGGGTTGGAACCAGGGAATTTACAAAAAGCACTTCAGATGATATAAGCAGTCTTGAATAAAAACAGAGAGAAATTAGTTTTTGGTGGATTTTTAGTTAAGTTGGGAACTAACCACTATATAATACCACTGTTATTCAAATTTACGCACCAACCGCTAAAACCAGTGAGGGTGAAATAGAAGAATTCTACCAACTTCTTCAGTCTGAAATTGATCAAACATGCAATCAAGATGTATTGATCATTACTGGTGATTGGAATGTAAAGGTTGGGAGCAAAGTGGAAGGATCTACTGATCCTTGGAAAATATACCATTGGTGATAGAAATGATGCTGGAGAATGCATGATAGAATTCTGCAAAACCAATGATTTGTTCATTTCAAATACCTTCTTTAGACAACATAAGAGACAACTATACACATGGACCTCACCAGATGGAATACATAGAAATCAAATTGACTACATCTGTGGAAAGAGACAATGGAAAAGCTCCATATCATCAGCGAAAACAGGGCACAGGCAGACTGGAACAGATCATCAATTACTCATTTGCAGATTCAAACTGAAACTGAAGAACATGACAAGTCCGCGAGAGCCAAAATACGACCTTGAATATATCCCACCTGAATTTAGGGATCATTTGAAGAACAGATTTGATACATTAAACACTAAAGAATGAAGACCAGAAGAGTTGTGGGATGACATCAAGAATATTATATATTGAAGAAAGCAAAAAGTCATTGAGAATACAAGAAAGAAGGAAAAGATCAAAATGGATGTCAGAAGAGACACTGAAACTTGCTCTCCAGCAAGAAATGCTAAAGCAAATGGAAGAAATGAGGAGAGGTACAAGAGCTGAACAGAAAAATTCAAAGATCTGCTTGAGAAGATAAAGCCAAATATTACAACAAAATATGCAAAGATCTGGAATCAGAGAACCAAAAGGGAAGAACACATTCAGCATTTCTCAAGCTGGGGAAACTGAAGAAAAAATTAAAGCCTCGACTTTTATTATTCAAAGATTCTCTGGGCAAATTATTGAATGATGCAGAAAACATCAAGAGAAGATAGAAGGAATACAGAGTCACTGTACCAAAAGAAAATGGTTAATGTTCAAATGTTTCAAGAGGTAGCATATATGATCAAGAGCCAATGATACTGAAGGAGGAAGTCCAAGGCGAATTGAAGGAATTGGCAAAGAACAAGGCACCAGGAATTGATAGAATCAAAATTGAAATCTTTCAAGAAAGTGAGGCGGCACAGGAGGTATTCACTCATCTATGCCAAGAAATTTGGAAGACAACTATCTGGCCAACTGATTGGAAGAGATCCATATTTATGCCTATTCCAAAGACAGGTGACCCAACGGAATGCAGAAATCATTGGACAGTGTCTTTGATATCCCATGAGAGTAAAGTTTTACTAAAGGTAATACAGAAACGGCTAAAATCATACATTAATAGAGAACTTCCAGAGGTTCTAGCCAGATTCAGAAGAGGCCATGGAACAAGGGATAGCATTGCTGATGTCCGATGGATCTTGGCTGAAAGCAGAGAATATCAGAAAGATGTTTACCTTAGCTTTTTGACTACGCAGAGGCTTTCGATTGTGTGCATCATGACAAGCTATGGACAACATTGCGAAGTATGAGTATTCCGGAACACTTAATTGTGCTCATGAGGAATCTGTAGCTGGACCAAGAGGCAGTTGTTCGAACAGAACATGGGAACAGTGAATGTTTTAAAATTTAAGAAAGGTGTGTGACAAGGTTGTATTCTTTCACCATTCTTATTCAACTTGTATGCTGAGCAAATAATCCAAGAAGCCGGGTTATATGAAGAAAAATGTAGCATCAGGATTGGAAGAAGACTCATTAACAACCTGCGATATCCAGATGATACAACCTTGCTTGCTGAAAGTGAAGAGTACTTTAAACATTTACTGACGTAGATCAAAGAGCACAGATTTCAGTATGAATTACATCTCAATGTCAAGAAAACAAAAATACTCAGCACTGGACCATTAAACAACATTCTTATCAATGGAGAAAAGATTGAAGTTGTCAAGGACTTCATTCTTCTTGGATCAACTATCACCACTCATGGAAACAGCAGTCAGGAGATCAAACAATGTATTGCATTAGGCAAATGTGCTGCACAAGACCTTTTTAAAGTTGTTGAAGAGCAAAGATGTCAGCTTGAGGACTAAGGTGAGCCTGACCCAAGCCATGGTATTTTCAGTAACCTCATATGCATAGGAAAGCTGGACAGTGAATCAGAAAGACCCTAGAAGAATTGATGCCTTTGAGTTATGGTGTTGGAGGAGAATATTGAAAGTGCCACAGGCTGCCAAAAGAACCAATAGATACATTTTGGAAGAAGTGTAGCCAAAGTGCTCTTTAGAGGCCAAGATGGCCAAATTTCGTCCCTCATACTTTGGACATATTGTCAGGAGGGACCAGCCATTGGAGAAGGATATCATGTTTGGTAAGATGGAGGGTCAGAGAAAAAGAGGAAGAATCCCCAACGAGATGGATTGGCCAAGTGGCAGCATCGATGGTCTCAAGTGTGGCAACAGTAGTGAGGTTGGCCCAGGATCTGGCAGTGTTTTGTTCTGCTGTGCATACGGTTGCTATGAGTCGACACCGAATCGATGGCACCTAACAACAACAACAACTGCTATAATACTTTTATATCATCTGTGACTCACTAGAAAAGGAAATCATGTTTGATAAATTAGGTATAATCAGGTGCCATCGAGTCACTTCTGACTCAGAGCAACCCTGTTCAGGGTTTCCAAGGAGTGGCTGGTGAGTTTGAACCACTGACCTGTGGTTCTAACTGACTCTGCAGTCCAGTGCTTATCATACAACATCACACCAGGCCCGACAACAAAGAGGGAAACCTTCAGTGAAATAAGCTGACAAAATAGCTGCAAAAATAGGCACAAACATAACAGTTCTCATGAATATGTTGCAGGACTGCACAACGTTCCATTCTGTAAAGTATAACATCACTATGATGCAACACAGCTAATAATTTGAGTGGTAGTTAATAAAAGTGATTTTCCTTCAAGATGTGAAATACACAAGTATGGGAGTTTAGAGTATTGTATTCACCTGGCAAGGTGTTCAGGGCTGTTGAGCCTCATTTCCTGTGTGTATAGGAATGGTGTACTGCTAGATGCTTTTGGAAGTCTGATAGACTATGATTGGCATAGGCCTCAGTATAGACATTTCATCGAGGCAGTACTTTAGTTGCATCTTGGTAATGTAACATAAGAATTGGCTTAGATTTGGGCAAAATAATCATGAGATTGTCTTTTGGAAAAATAATAGAAAATTTAGAAGGAAATTGTGTTTATACATTTGTTAAATGAAATTTGATTTTGAGAAAGTGTTGGGAGTCGATAAGACATGGAAAAACTAATCAATTTTCAGATGGTGATATGGAAATATTTTAGAAATATTTCTTCTGGGAGGGGCATTGTAAAGGGGAGATACTGATTGAAAGTGTGTGCTTGTAAAGTGAAAACTCTTGACACAGAAGTTTTTCATTAACATACTGGCATTGTTACAGTATACCGACAGGCAAACAATATAAACATGCTTAAGGAGGGAATGAAAATCGAAGCAACGCATGTAAAGAAAAAACAACTTCATCACTACCTTCCATCAGAAATTCTTCAAAAAAAGAAAAAGGTCAGTTTTAAACTTTCCTGTGTGATTCCATTCAGATTAATGATCTTGGGAACAAATTTACATTCTTAGAGCTACCAAGCCAATTAAAAACAAAAGGGAGAAGGTACAGAAAATTCAATCTGGGAGTAAAATCTTGCCATCATTAATCAGAAAAGATCATTTGTTTTTATGTATGTCAGAATTATTGATAGCATCTTCGTACTCTTGTTTAATGAAATCCATAAACTTTCCCTTCTTTTAGCAAAGTCTTTCTGATGTCAGTCGGAGTTTGGTTGGACCGCAGCCCAAAAGACCATCTCTGGATGGCAGTTGCTTGGATAGCTCCAGAGACACTGATAACGGGACACCTTTTAACTCTCCAGTGGCATCAGTCAAACCCTCCAAGCCTGACAGCCCTCCTGTGGGAGAAACAGAAAGGTCTGTTTTTCAAAATTATCTTTTCTTTCTTATATTTAGCTGATAAAAGGATAATGTGGACTTTTCGATTCTTTCACTAAATTTAGTTTAGGCTTAGGAACATGTAAGACTAGGTAAGTACAAAGAAATGCACAGGTTTTCCATGTAAATTGGACCCTCTATCTTATTCTCCCCTCTTCCTTCAAGAACATGTTAAAATAGGAATGTTGTGAAGAAGAAGTATGAAATGCTAAAATAACTGTGTTTTAAATAAGTAGTGCTTAAATCCTTTAATGATAACAGTTTAATACTTTTCACAGGAACAGTGCTGAGCCTAGTTCTGTAATTGTGGAGAAGCCACTGACTGTCCCACCAGCTCAAGGACTGTCTATTCCAGTCATTGGTGCAAGTAGGTGTCTAAACTTTCATTGTTAATGATTCTACTACTATATAATTGGATGACTAAAATCTTCTCTCCCCTCCCTTCCTCCCTTTCAGAAGTTGACTCTACAGTAAAAGCTGTATCACCCCCAGCGGTGTGCACCATTCCTACTGTAGTAGGGCGCAATGTCATTCCTAGAATCACAACACCCCACAACCCTAACCCTGCCCAGGGACAACCTCACCTTAATGGAATGTCAAATATAACGAAGAATGTTACACTCAAGAGATCCCATTCCCCATCCATTGATGCGTCTTCTAAAAGATTGAAAGATATAGAAAAGGTACTACAACTTTAGTGGTGATTCAGTAGTTGATTTGTAAAAAGTTAGCTTAAAGAAAAGTAAGAGCATCAAAAGTTAAAATAGCATTAAAGAAACTAAAAATTATTTGGCTATCTTAGTGTTCCAGTAGGATTTGGCTGTTTCAAAAGAATACTTAAAACAAGAAAGACTATTTATCCAAACCCTAAAGCAACAATATTAATTTTTCATCGTAAATTTAATTACTAATGTGCCTAAAAATGTGAATGATTAAGTTTCTCCGTGACTTACACAAAAGTCATTGGCAGTTAAATAATTGTACTTATTGTGTGTTACAGTGTTGGTCTTCTTTGTCTCCAGTAGGTGGGGGTAAAACTCTCTTATTTGTAAGAATCTGAATTGATTTAACCAAAACAGATCAAACTATAGAAATTAAGGGTAGCAGTTGAATTTAATCTAATTTAAATCCTGTTTCCTATGGACCCATGTTTGTAGTAGTTTATTAGTAATAGCCTAATTTCTAGTTAGTCTCCCAGTTTATATGAAGGTTTGTTTTGTTCTTGTGGGGTTGTTTTGTTTTGTTTTGTTTTTTTAAATAAATACATGTAAGCAACTTATTTTAATGTTTATATTTTAGTTTATTCGACTTGAATCAACATTTAAGGACTCTCGTGCTACTCAAGACAGAAAGAGAAAATCAGTGGTAAATATATTTAGTAGTGTCCTCCAAAATATTGAGAGCCATGTTGGAAACAACTCTTAGAAAGTGGGTCAAATTAGATCTACTGTCAAGTTTTGGTTATGTTTTATCTCATGTAGAAGTTGAGTTTATGTAAAAAATAACTATAGCATTTGCATAAAGGAAAGAAAGGTTTCACTTGCGCATAATTTTTATATTCTTAGGACACCATTGGAGGAGAATCTATGCCTATTCCAACTATTGACACTTCACGCAAAAAGGTAATAAGTTGTTTTATTTATAAGTAAAATACTGTGTGTTTATAGCCTATATGTGCAAAACACTTTTTAAGAGTTGAACATTAGTTTATTTTCACTCATGAAAACATGAAGTGCTTCTCCTCACAGCCACCAGTTACCCAGCCAGCTTCCCCAGAGTGTACTCAGCATCCTAAAACAAGCACAGTGGAAAGTGTTCTGGGAACTATTATTGTAGGATATGTAAAAAATTTATTTTCTAATACAACAATGAGTCACAAAAAAATAAGGATATGATAATTGAAGAAAAATGTTGAGATACTTAATAAAATGATATAATGTCAGCTTTTAATTTAAAATATTTCCCAGATAAAAGTTAAAAGGGGTAAACCAAACATGGCAAAAATTTTAATGGCTGAGCCTTGGTTACAGCATCTGTTTGCATTGTCCTATTCTCTACTTCTGCAAATGTCTGGATACTTGTACAACTTTTTTGAATGGATGTAGGTGTAGTTACAGGTATTTGGGTAGCAGAGGTAATGCAAGAGAAGAATTGTGCCCAGACATCTCTTGGGGGGCAAAAAGCCTAACATACTGTGTCTGTCACACAATTGTCTGTATTTTACGGTTTTCTTTATTTCTTAATTTCTTAGATTTTGCCTCCTTATAATTGTTATTGTCCACAGAACCCCTTACACAGATGTCCCTGAATTTCCCTGTCATCAAAATTACCTAGCCTAACTTACAAGCCTCAGTTTTCCTGAAAACTTAAATATCTCACATGTTTGGTTACACTGTTCTTTTTTAATGTACTATAGTTACTAATTGAGGGATGGATTATTGGATATTAAGTTTTCTTCTTAACACATGCCTCTTTCATTTATCCCACCCCCTACTCCTTACAAGAGTTCCCAGTTAGTAATTTTGCTTTTTATTCAGTTGCCTGACTTTAGTGAGGACTGTGTTCTTGATAAATTTCTCAGTGTAGAAGTGGCAATTGAATTAACATAAATGCCTTTTTCTAAACACACTCATCCTCTACCCTTTCTGTCATCATGATGTTTTTCACCTCTGGCTTTTCAAAAATAAAAAATCCCTGAAGCAAGAGATACCTGTGCACACAGGGAGGTATTCAGGTCACTCTTGAGTATTTAGGGGATAAGGGATTTGGAGAAAAACTCAAGAGTTTTGTGACTGATGTAGTAGTTGGACCTTTATATATACATACATGTGTCCTGTTTGTTTGTTTTTTATTAGAGACTACCCAGTAAAGAACTACCAGATTCATCATCTCCAGTTCCGGCAAATAATATCCGTGTCATCAAAAATTCTATTCGACTGACCCTGAATCGGTAAAAGCAGTGCCTCCCTCACTTAAGTGAATATGCAATCATTTAGTGTTGTAGAACCAGCCAGTCTTTTAAAAGGGAAGTGGCTGTCATACATAATTTGGTGAAAGTTAACAGTCGTCGACCTGGTGACCCTGAGGTGGTTTCAGACTCTTAACATCTGACCTGCAGATGCTGTCTCAGTCTCTCACTGATAGCTGCATATACTTCTCTGAGGATCGCCTGCTGTCACATTGTCACCCACAATATTATGGCTTTGAGTTTGGAGGTTTTACTGCCTTAACTTTCAGTGCTTGTTTCTCTTATGGGAACCAGTTCTTGGACACTTGGACACTGATAAAAGAAGTCCTGAACTCCTTTTTTCTTTTTTCTTTTTTTTTCCAGTCTTATGTTGTAATCATTGTATAGAACTAAAAAAGTTTAAAACAAAAACAAAAAAAATTGTCTTATAATTTCCCAGATGTTAACACATTTACTTTAGCATTGAAGCCACTTTGTAAAACCTGAGATAAATGAATGTGAGGTATCTTTTCTGCTTTCCTCATTTGTGTAGATGTACTTATTGTCTGTTCTCTTGATTTAAATTATTTTTTTTTTGTCCAGATTGGCACGTGGAATATTTAAACTTTTTTGTGTGTGTGCCTTTCTGTCCAAATGTTGCATAGTTATCAGGGAAGATTAGTCCAGTGATTATAGACAAGAGTTGGGCACCATGAATTCTTTAATTTGCCTCCCATGGAGGCCTTCGAAATGCATCTTTATTAAAATCAAAACACAACCAGGATACTGAAAGTCAGTATATGAATGGTGAAATTGTTACATGTCCTATCTCATGCCATTCTTGTTAGTGGACTGGTATTTTTTACAGAGAAGCAACTCATTTCAGCATCAACAATACAATACCATTAAGTATGAGACACTTGTATTTTTGAGGTGTAAAATTAATCGGGCATGATAATACCTGACCATTACTTACCCCACAACTTCACTTTCTTCACAGACGAGGCATGCAGAAATAAGCAGTGGATTTCTTGAAACCTTAGAGGCATTTTTGAATGACATTGTTACCAACCATTAATTGGCTCAGGACCTTTGTAGTTTTTATTTAACTATCTGAGTTGTCTTTTTTTACACTGCTTTTTTCAATGCATTTCTTAATATTTTTTAAGTTTCATGAACGCATGCTCAGTTTATTAAAATCCATAACCATGTAATTCTTGTAATGTTTGATTCAGTGTTTTGTAAATGAAGTCGTATGTATTTTCAGAGTATTTTTGTATGTACTGTAAGATACCATCTTTTCAAAGAGAAAACTTTAAAACCTCTATTGTCTCTCGTTAGTCTAATTTTTTAAAATATGGATTATGCTTGAATTATTCTTAAGATAGAAATGTACAGATTGCACAGCCCAGAATGCCAATAGATACTACCTTCTTCAGCTCTCGTTCAGCATTTTATAGGCCTGGTAGGAAAACCACAAAATGATACATTAACTGTTTAGTGGAAGAAAATACTAGGTTTTAGGACTCGTCAGACACCATCTAGCCAGTAGAATAGTAGTAGTACATTTCTCTTTCAAGCCCCTTGCCATTAAGTTGGAATCCTTAAACCCTGATTGTCAAAAAGCAGAATCTTGCCATCCCTTTTTGTGTACCCTGACTCCTGTATCTCTAAATGGAAAATTTAATGTTTAACTTGTAAAATGGAGGGATAACAGAAAAAAATGCATAGAAGTAAAGAGAACAAGGAAAAATCACGGTTATTCTAGTATTTAGTTTTTTACATAACAAAAGGCAAAAATAAAATCCTATAACCAAGTTGTAGCTCCTCCCTTTGGCTTTTTCTGTATTCAGATACTTTGGGGGTTTTCTCCAAATCCTTAACTTTAGCAAGAAATGATTGAATAAATATCACCTGACTTCAAACCAAAAAAATTTTATAGTAGGGGATTTGATTCAATTTTATATATTTGGTGTTTGCATTTCTGTTTTTAATAGCTTAACTATTATCCCCAGCTTTTAAAAGCAGTCTTCCAAGTCTTCACAGTAAAGAATTTCCTATATATCCAGGTTTACCATATATATAAGCAGATTCTTTGGAGTAACTAATGAAGGTGTTTTGTTTTAATAAGAAAACAATGAGCCTTTTGTCCTGTAGGAGAGTCATTTCTCAGTTAAAGGGTCCATTCAACATGGACTAAGACATGATCAGTGGTTTGGCATTAAAATCCTCAAGAGAAACTATTCTTCACCTTGTTTGGTAATTTGGCAGTTGATTCAATGCTTTAGAGAAGGTGGGTTTGGCCAAAAATGAAGTGTTTTCTATCCTGGACAATAGGTAGAGAACTTTAATTATATTGCGTTACCATGGTGTGTAGTCTTCCACTGTACTAGTTTCAAGAATTAAAAGGGGGGTTGTATATTAGTAAGTACATGTGTGTTTTCAAGTGTGAAACTGTACCTAGAAATCTGTTTTATAAAGTCCCATTACTCATTCTTCAAAGTGTAGATAGATACATGTTCATTTTCAGAAGGGTGTTAAATTTTAATATGTTCATTTTTCAGTAACTAGCCCTGAATAATAATATCTATTAAAGGAGAAGAGTTATCTGCTAGGTTTGGGTTTATCTGGGCTTCCAGTTTCAAGTACAGGGTACATGTCGTAAAGCCTTGTGAAACTGGGACAAGAGAACTAACTTTTAAAGGCTATGTTGGTGCTTAAAGAGTAACTTTGTTTTATGGTAGCAATTCAGTAACATTAAAGTGCTTAATTTACTATAGGGACAATTAAGTGAAGATGGGCAGTATGGAAATTGGCTAAACTTATTTTCTGGTGTGTCCTTTAGTTTTGAAATAGAAATTCGTAATTTGGGAATCATGGGCCCTTAGGGAGTCCTTAGCAGTTGTACATAGACATGTTTTTGTGTGTATGCATCTTGAGTGCATTTTGCTTTAACTTGTCAAAGCAGCTCATGACCCTGAAAAAGGTTAGAAACTACAGCTTTCCAAGATTAAATAGTAATGAACTATTTGGAATGTCTTCCAGTGTGATGTTCTGCAGGATATTTCTGAAAACTGTACTATGGCTCTTAACTAGTAAAATGGGCTGAATTTTGAAACACTGAATTTCTCTCCAAGGTTCACAAGTGAAACCTCATCCCTGTTATTAAACAACTTGCTATCAGATACCTGTCAAAAAGGTATCGTCATGTTAACCTAGATTCCTTAACACAAACCACAACAAATTTCAACATAAAAATGAGTAGAATAACATAGAATGAAGACTAAAAATAACAGGGGGAAAAAAAAGAAATGGTAGAAAGTAGAGTTCCTCGTAAAAGATCCTAACCATTGGAGTTCAAGTTCCGGCATTCAAGTTCTCACTTCTTCCTCCATGGTTCAGGCCTTAACATCCTGAACCGACCAAGAAATTGAAGAGCTTTGACTTAAAAATAAATTTTTTAAGTAAAATGGTGTGTGTGTGTGTGTGTTAAAGAACTACTTATTAAATCTTCCAACACTTAGAAGTTCTGGCATGATGATAGTATTAAAAAATAGCGCAGATGGTGGAAGGCAGCGCAGTTCAATAATGGTAACTAAGATGCTTTTAAAAATCATACAAGGTCAGATAGATCCTTCCCAAATTCCCTATTTTTTCTGAAATAGCTTTTCTGACATAATTTTATACTTAAACATTAACCCTAAGATTACCATTAAGCTTGCTATAGTGTTTTAACTATTGCTGCATTTTAGCAAAAATCCATATAATTACCTTATCAAATACTTAGGATATTTTGAACTAAATGGTGCTACATCACTTAACAGTATTACGTAAGATGAACGCAGCTGCTGTTCCATTCTAGATAGTTGTATATGTAGTTCATATTTTTCCTGCCTTTTATTTGGATTGTCTTACCTCTTAAGTTGTACACGTGAGCCTCATTATTTGTGTGGAATAAATAAATAAACTTGCTTTAATAAATAGGTGTTGATGATTGAGTGATATTATTTGGGAATATTTCAAAAGTACCAAATATCTTAGTTATCTTGCAAACTGACAGTTATTTTAGGCATTTACCACTCCAACTCTTTTACCAGTCGGATAATGGATGGTATTCACTAATAGAAGTTAGCTAGGGTTACTTATGCCCCCACAACATAACCATCCATGTAATATGAAAACAAAGCTCAAGACTGTTACCTTACTGTTGGGTTCTGTTGATTGAGACTTCATCGACCCTGTTACAGAATGAAACGCTGTCTAGTCCTGTACCATCTTCATGATTCTTAGTTTGATTTATGTTTGAAGCCACTGGGTCAGTCCATCTTTAGTATCTTCCTAGCTGACCCTCCGCTTTACCAAGCATGATGCCCTTTGCTAGGAACTGGCTCCTGAGAACAAGTACAAAATAAGAGATGAAGTCTTGCCATCCTCGCATGTAAGGGAATTTGGGCTGTAATTCCAAAGCAAATTAATTCATTCTTTTGGCAATCCATGATATATTCAATACTCTTCTCCAACACCACAATTTAAATACCGGTATTTTATATTTGTCTCCATTTATCATGATGTTGCTTATTACAGTTGTGAGGATTTTTACTTAAGGTGTAATCCATGCCTCACTTTAACAATTACTGGTAAGCAGTAGTGTATACAACCTGTTAGTAGTCTTAAAGAAACCCCAGCTTTCTGTCCTATCAGGTGATCTCACCATACTTTCCTAATACAGTCATTTGAGGCAGACTTGTGGGGGCAAAATTTTGTCATGCTTATAACCAGTATCAAGTGGCCAGAATTTTCTACTAATGGTTGCACACAGGTTTTTTTTAGCAATTAAAGCCTTGGGTACTACCCGTAGAAATACAGGCTGTAGGACTTGTTGCATCCTTACACTAAGTCTTACAAGAACACCAGTAACTTATTTTTAGCCAATTCAAAATACCGTACTGACTCTACAAATGAAAGCCTGTCTACATCCATTGGTCCATTGTTGTTAATTGCCATTGAGTCAGTTCCAACTCACAGCAACCCTGTATAGAATTTCTAAGGTGGGTTTGAACCACCAACCTTGTGGTTTAGTACATTACCTCACAGCACCACAGAAGATTAAAAGCCACTTGTTTCACCATGGGCAACACAGCTGACATTTAATAAGCCAATTAGGAAAGTCTCCTGTATAGATAGAGTTGTGGATGGCACAGGGCTTTTAGCAGCCACTTCTGAAGTTTGGTTTCCTAATTGGAATGCTGTCCATTCCTGTAGTGAATTTCTGATAGGGCTCCTGACTGCTATAACTTTAACAATATCACACTGTGCTGAATGTTTCAAAGTAAATGATTATGATTCTTTGTGGACCCTAACATGTTACTATACAACATGGGTGGGGAATGTCAGGCCTGTGGCCCCTATCAATTCCACAACATCATTTGATCTGGCCTTGCCAAGGGGATCGCATTTCCAGCCATCACATTGTGGTTAAGTGCTGTTGAGTTGATTCCGACCCACTTGTAGTTAGGTGCCATTGAGTTGGTACCAATTCATAGCGACCCTATGTACACCAGAACGAAATACTGCCCGATCCTGGGCTAACCTCACAGTTGTTGCCATTCTGACCCCTAGTGACCTTGTATAGGGTTTCCAAGGAGCAGCTGATGAGCTTAAACCACCAACTTTGCAGTTCAAATAACTGCAATCTGGCGCTTTAGCCCACAGCGCCACACCAGGGCTCCAGACATCAAGTTGTTGTGAAGTGCCGTCGAGTTGGTTCCGACCCAGAGCGACCCTGTATAGGGTTTCCGAGGAGCAGCTGGTGAGCTTGAACTGCCGACCTTGCAGTTCAAAAGCCTTTGCCATCTGGTGCAATAACCCACAGCCCCACACCAGGACTCCAGCCATCACATTAGAGGTGAGTTAATTAAATATTTGACCAAATACAGCAGGCTAGTTTTTAAGTTGATAATTTAGTATGGCTCGTAAGTGATGTAGTGTGGTCCTTGGCAGAAAAAAAAAAAAAAAAAAAAGGTTCTCCACCCCTGCTATATAAGAATAAGACAAAGTGTTGATGCAAGATTTATTAATCAAAATTATAAAAATGTGAAGCTTTTATTTCTAGGCGTATCCTCCGTCTGTTGTTTGTTAAGTGCCTTGGAGTCGATTCTGACTCTTAATGACCCTGTATAGAGCTTCTGAGGAGTGACTGATGGGTTTGAAGTCCAGTGCTTACCCTACAGCATCACACCAAGACTCCATATGCCATTTTTAGATCTGTACTTTTCTGAAAGTGGTGTGTCCATCTCTAAACCTGCCCCCACAGAATTCTGTACTCTTTAATTTACACCACATCCTCAGACTCAAATCATGTTCTTTAAGTTGTGGGAACAAGAAATCTGAAGGGACAAAATCAGGATTGTGAAGTGCATGGGGTAAGGTTTCCCAACAAAATTCTCACAGGACTGCCCTTGCTATCCTCGAAAAATGAGCACAGATGCATTGTCAGAATGCAAAAAATTCCTTGATGCAACTTTCATTACCTTTTTCTCACCAGTGAAGTTTTCAATTTTCTTTAAACTATCCTAATAAGCTCACGTGATTGTTCTGTGCCCTTCAAGAAAATCTACCACAACTACC